CTAAGCTCACACCATTAAGGTGATCATCGCAAAAGAGGAAAAAATACACAAATAGACAAACACAGAAGCAAGGGTGAGCTAGATATACAAAGATCATACTATTACAATAACACACAACATTCATGTTTAATTCAAGTAAACTAGATCACATATCATAACATGTTATACTTTAAACTTGACTCGTCCGGACTTAGAATGATTGTCGAGCTATGGTAGGTTGTGCACTCGTGCTGGCTTCTACTACTTTGCAAAGCCATTGTCAATGGGTTTCACCCTACCACACTCACGAGGTTAGTCCGTTATCACTCACATTGGGTCATACTGAAAGCAGCCAAGACTAGGACCTCCTGCTACTCCTCACGACATGGATCAATCCTCTCTACTTGAGAATGAAAGACCATTGGAGTTTCAGGATAACCCCTAAGACTAAGCTCCTGCATTCATTCTAAACTTACTAAGGGCACCACCATGGATCCTCTCCTTGAGGATCATGGAATTATGTCCATAACATAGGGCACCACCATGTAACCTCCCTTTGAGATCCATGAAATTACGTCCACCAACCATACTGTCACTTTGAAACTTAACTCAAGACATGAACAACCAAATATCATAATACTATCACATTGAATCCAAACATATAACCTCACTGATCATACACTATCATAGATACTTCTACACCATTCTAATAATCAAAACATAGTTCAAGGTTATCAGAAAATAGGAATAAAAAGAATAAAAATAGGTTTTGGGCAAGTTACTCAGTGCACCAAACTCGTTGTACAAATAACAAAAACAATGGATTTTACTCACTCACATTCACTCAACGCACTAAGCCTGTGCGCTCAGCTAAAGTCCATTCGCTCAACACACCAAGTCTATGCGCTTAGCTAAACTGAAAATTCTGCTACATATTATCATATCCTAAACCCTCGCAGAGCGCCCCAAATTCGTTATTCGAATTAAACTAGCATTTTCCCAGGCAACCATCATTCGCACAACGTCCAGATTCACTATGCGAATCACCAAATAAAGAGCAACCCTCTCTAGCCATTCGCACAACACACCAATTTGCTATGTGAACGCCCTAACAGAGAGCATCTCGCCAGGGTGACTCCCTGTGCGAAACAATTCGCACAGCGAGTTTGCATAATCTGCAGAACGCAAATTTTGCAGAATTATGCAACTCACACACCCTTTACCATTTCTAGTCATATTCCCCAACTTCTAACACCCTTAATTCGTGTTTTATACTTAATTAAACTTATCTAGATGATTTCAACCCTCCTTACTACAAATCTAGAGTGATTAAGACTCAAATTAAACTCTAAAACACCAATTTCCACAACTTAGGGACCCCATTCCAATTCTACTACTTTGCACCTATTTTTGACCTGTTTGATGACTCTAACAAGTCACAAATAACCTCCCTATACTGTCCCAACAGACTATAAGAGCCCTAGACTCCTCACTCTCAAATTCACTATCTCATTTCCTCC